TTTGAATAATGAATGATGTTTAATTTAAATTAAGAATAAAAAACATGAAAATATACTAAATGTATTGTTAATAAAAATGAAAATGAATACGATAGGAAAATAAAAGAAGAAAATAAAATAAAAGAAAGAGGAATTAAGTGAGGGTAATAATTTAATGATAATAAATAATAAATAAAGGAAATAAAAGATAGATGAGTATTTAAACATAGACTAAGAAAGGTGTATTCATTAAAATGATCAATTTATTACTTCTGTTTATTACATTTTCATTATCAAAACAATGTAGTGAATATACTACAAATGAAATAGATACAGTTGACAGTGCATTTGAATGTATTGAATCAATTGAAACAACAGAAAAAGAAAATAAAGATATTATTACAGGATTAAAATATTATTTAGAAGCATATGTATTTAAAGATATATTAAAGAATCCATCACAACCATCATTTTCAAATAATTATTATGAAAAGTGGTATTGATGAACAACTAAATAAAATAAATACAAAAATAACAAGTATATATGAATTCTATTCTCAAATGAAAAATCTTATTATTTCAACAAGAGATCTTCATTTAAGTTTTAATGTAGATGAAAATATGAATAAGCCAAATTCAGAATTAACTAATTTCTTTTATTTCCTTCCATTTACAATAAATATTAATAATGATAAGAAAATGTATTTAATTCCTAGAAACGAAATTCTTGATATTCCTATTGATGTTCCAGAAGAAATAGTTAATAATGAAAAAGTATCAGTTAAAACAATAAATGGAAAAGATCCATTTAATATTATTCGTGAATTTGGAAAGAAATATTTAGGACTAAAATGTCCACATGCACAATTTACAGAAGCAAGATCAGCAATTTCATTTGGGTCATTGAGTGATATACCATTAACAAAAGAATATTTAAACACACCAATAACTATTACATGGGAAAATGGAGAAAGTGTCACAATTAAATATTCTATATTCAAGCTATCAACACCTAATAAATCACTTAAAGAGTTACTTCAAGGAGAAGAAGTTAAACAAGGAATTCAACCAAAATTAACACCAGAAGAAATAAAATCAAGAAAAGAAATTGGGAAAAGAATGAAAACAAAACAAGAAATAACTAAAGCATATATATCAGATGATAATAAAGTATATTGATTATTAACATATAATAAAATTAATACATTTATCATTTCATCGTTTTATCTTAAATAAACATATGCTAAATCATATGTATATACTATTTTAGACTGTATTGATTTATTTGATTCTAATAAATATCCAATTCAAGTAATATTCCCAAAGAATGGAGGTGGATATGGTTATCTTTCCAGATGGGTTGAGAAAATTATATCACCATATGATGATGTAGACTTTATTGGATCATTAAGAATATCAGATTTTACAGAAGTTATAATAAAAAAATAGGAATGGTTACAGATTTGTATGACCCAAAAACATGTGAAAGAAGAGAGAAAGAGAATAATCCACAAACACTTGGAGAGTGGTATACAAATCCAAATATTATTAAATATGGTGATGTTGAACATAAAATTACACAACGTTCAATTGTAGTTCTTCCAAAAAAGAAGTTAATGAAAAATCCAAGAAAACCAACAGACATAGTAGTTTATACAGATTCATATTGTTATTCTGCTTGTTCACTTGTTACAAAAGGATTAAAAGAATGGGGAGGAGCTATTCTTGTTAGATTTGATGGTGATCCATATGGTGAAGATGATGATTTTGAAGTAGGATTATCACCAACTACTGTTATTGATATAAATGATATAGATGAAGATAATTTAATTAAACAATATGGATACAAATTTAGAATAAGTTTTACAGAAACATATAGATATAATTATGAATATAATGAAAGAATTCCTAGAGAATTTTTAACAGATATGATAGATGAAAGAGTGAATATTTATAGTTACCCTTATATAATTGACATCTTTGAAGAAGAAACAAAGCAAATAAGATGGGGATATCAAACAAAATGTAATCCAAATAATAAAAGATTAGTTAAAAGAGATGAAAAATGTGATAAAGAAATTAATATAGAACATGGACATGGAGGATATGAATGTGGAGATAATGGAGAATGGAGTACTAAATGTGTACTATCATATTGTGATGAAGGATATAAATTTGATTATAACAATAATAAATGTATTGAAGATGTATGTGTTAATCCACCAACAGATGATGGAACACCAAGCATGACAGTAAACCTTGTCATGATAATAATTGGAATAATCACATTAATTCTCTAATTGAAGAAGGTTTAATTTAAAATATAATTTTGGTTTAATAAAATATGAAATAAAAAAAGATAAATATAACACTCTCTTATTTTATTTGTTATATTCATTTTAATAAA